AAACTGGGACGTGAATCCTGAAAATACATACATAGAAGGTTCAAGTGCTCGCCTTGAAGAAATGGTTTGGGAAGACCTTGATGATGAAGGCTTTGACAATGGGAGAGGAAAAAGGCAGCGTCTAGATTAGAATATTTTAGATGATGTCTTGTTTTTCACTTTTTCAATTGGATTTTGTAATGTTATGCACTTATGCTCATCTTATCTATTTTTGTTTACTTATGTTTTGACTTTTGGTACACCGAACCGAATACATGGTACACCGTACCGCTTCGTACCGAAATGAACCTACCCCCCTTCGTACCGAATTCGTTACATCTAGCGAATTTTGTACCCGTACCGCGTACCCGTACCGAAGCGTACCGCGATTTATGTGACTATGGTCTCATGTCACAGACAAAACTAACGCTCTCATTGACATACACAAGCTGTGTGGGGTCTATGACCCAAATTTTAAAGATTAGTGCACTGTCCTAATTGTACACACGTCTCTCTGGACAAAAGTGAAGCCCCCCCCCCCCAAAAAAAAACAAAAACCAGGTTGATCTCAATACCCCAATGCCAAAAAATAGTGAATCTTTGGCTTCATCGGAGATGATGGATAAAAATTTAACAATATTAAATCTTCATATTTGAAATCATTTAGCAACTATTTTTCAGTTCGGCACATACCTCCACCATACTTCGAGCTTCTTCAATGTGCTTCTGAGCACTTGGATGATCAATCTCAAGTAAAGAAGGCATACGATTAGAAAGCTCATCTAGAGATGCAACCATTGCTTTCTTCCTACTTCTACCAAGGCTTCTAACAGATGTTTGCCTTGCGATATCCTGCAACAGAAAAATACAGTACATTTCAATTGTTTTTTCTTCATCCAGAGCCCCACAATAATTGGGAATGATATCTTAAACTATCAAAAATACTGATGATACCTTGACTTGTTTCATTATGCCATCAAGGGACACGAGCGATGCAAGTCGAGAATCTTCAATTGCAGTGGAAGGATTTCGAATTGGTGAACCACCATCTTCTAATGTAAAGAATGCCACGTCCCTTCTCATTTGCTGTATAATCTGATTAAACGTATATAAGTTATGTGTTATGGCTCCCCAATCACTTTCCGACGTACTAAGAAGAAGAGTGCTCTAAGAGTCTTAGGCTCTTAGAAACTACACCCTCCGCCCTAATTTTTTGCGCACCCCTCTAAACACTTCCACTCCCACCTAAAATGTCTAAAATATACCCCATTATGTAGTTTATTGCGGGTAGAAGTTGTTCTGGAGGTATTTTAGACATTTTAGGTGGGATAGAAGTATTTTATGGGATGCGCAAAAAATTAAGGCAGAAGTGTTTTGTGAAACGGAAGGAGTAATACTTGCTACATTGCGTTGACACCAAGATAGTGATATACTTTGTTTCTAATTAAATACACCTCTGTAAGAAGTTTGCACACAATCCCTTTGATTCTAAAGTCTTTCAAGCACCCCAATGAAAAAAGGTTTTGAGAGAAAAGAAGCTGCTAGAGTCATGGCAAAGACAGCACTGGTGGATAAAACTGCCGAGGTGATGAGGAATGTTCGCCTACTGGTGGAACAGATCCTGCCAACACTGCTTTTGAAACTGTGCCTACACGAGTAGCTATGAAAGTGAACCAAGTGACAGAGCTTTCTCAATCGAGGCTGCCCGGAAAAACAACCATCTCATGCTAGGGGAAACACATAGTAGTGGCAAATCGTAGTTCATGGTAAGGAATACCTATCCCGGATCCTACCAAGGCCGAAAACCATGGTTAATCTGCAGAGAAAAGGCAGCCAGCCATGACAGGGGATTTGGTGAGTAATGATAAAGCAAATAAGCAATGTGCTAGGAGAGCTACATCGGGGCATGGCGTGGCGAAGCCAATGCCTCCCGCCATTTTAAGAGAAGATACTTTGTTGGAATGTGATAGAATTTGGGATAGGTATGGACAACTGAATTGGGTAATAAGACACTTGGGCTGAACCACATTAAAAGATTGAATCCAATCGATTACTTAGTTCAACTCAAGAGCTTATATACCGATTAATTTCCTCACACTTTTCCGATGTGGGATGCTCTCTTTAACACTCCCCCTCAAGTGGACAACCGGGTCATTTTGAATCTAACCGGTTGACTACTTGCAAATGAACTCCCATTCCCTTGACTTTCTTTCTTTCTTTCTTTTTGAGCGCCAACACCTAAAGGACCACGAGCCGCTGGGTATGGACTTCCAGACGAGCAATCGTGTTAAACGGGCCACAGGACGTTTGGTACATACTCCATACAGAACACTGGGCTAAAGACAAACGGGCCGCTAGGAATGAACGTCTAGACGGACACCTTGACAAACGAGGTGGGCCAAAACCTGCTCTGATACCATGATAGAATTTGGGATGGGTATGGACAACTGAATTGGGTAATAAGACACTTGGGCTGAACCATAGTTGTCACGGCGGCTAGGCGAGGCTAGGCGTTAGTGTACCTTCCAGACGCCTAGGCAAATAGGCGCCCGCCTAGGCGTCCCCTAGGCGAGTGGGTTACGGCGACCTTAATAATTTTATATGTAGTAATGTAAAAACATATAGTATGGAATAAGTAATTAAAGAGTACATAGATACCAACATTATGAAATATATGAATAAATATTGTTTGAAAAAATAAATTTAAAAAGATACTAAAAAAAGTTAAGTACCAAAAGAAGAGGAGAGAGTAAAAAAAGGATAAAAAAGTCTTTTCTGGAAAAGTACTCTCTGCCGAGAAGTACTCAAACAAATAAGTGCCAAAAAATATATAAAAACTGAATCTAAAGCTATGCTTATGTATCGGAACCAGAAACAGAAACAATTGAATCAGAGAATCGGAAAAGAAGATGCCTTGATGCGTCGTTCGTTGGAGATAGATGAGGAAACTCAGCCGCGACGTTGATGCAGAGAATCGGAAAAGAAGATGCGAGAGAGAGAGGGTTATCGAAACTGGAGCAGTAGACTGGAAGGGTTGTTGACCGGCTAGGTTTTATTTCAATATCGCAAGTGGGCTTTTAATTTTTTTTTAAAAAAAATAACGCTGGGCGTCGCCCACTCGCCTAATCGCAGCTTCCAGACGCCAAAAGGACGCCAAGATCGCCCAGGTAAAAAAAAGCTAGGCGTGAGGTTAGGCGTCCATATCACCCCGCCCAGACGCTTAGGCGTCGCCTAGGCGACGCCTTGATAAGTATGGGCTGAACCACATTAAAAGATTGAATCCAATCGATTACTTAGTTCAACTCAAGAGCTTATATACCGATTAATTTCCTCACACTTTTCCGATGTGGGATGCTCTCTTTAACAGAATGTATGGGGTCTTAGTTCGGCTTCGTGACAACATGGTGTTGCTACCTTACTTGGGAAACATGATGCTAATATTTGCTGTGCTTTGGAAAATAAATTGAATATTGATAGTCTTCAACCGACCATGACTAATAATTTTCCCGGGGGGGGGGGTATGGCCATCTTTTGGCATCCTTTCATGGTGAAGTGAGATATTTTGGAAGTAGGCGAACAATTTATTCATTGTAAGGTGAAGTGCCTTGTCTCCCAAGCAGCCTTTCAGTTACTTTTGTTTATGCCTTGTGCTCTGTGCTCTGTTGCAGAGAGACATCTTATTTGGGAACATCTTGTGTATATCCGTCAATGAGAGGAATAGCCATGTTCCTCCCTCAACATTGCTCATTAAAGACTTTGTGGACTTTAGACTATGGGACTTATGGTGTGTCGTGTGACGGGCAGTTTTCTGTTGGGACAGGGGCCAACTATGGACCACATTGGATCATGACAGGGTTTACTGAGTCTTGGAGGACTTCTAACTTGCCTTTCCATGCTAGCTTTTTTACTATGGAGCATGGGTCTGACCATTGTCTTGTTCTTGCTTCTTTGGCCCTAAAAGTTACTCATGGTATGAGGCTGTTTAAATTCTTTAATATGTGGCTAGGCCATCATTCTTTCTCATCTGTTATGCAGGCTATTTGGAATCAACTGGTGGAGGGAACTTCCCAGTTTACTCATTGCTCAAGATTAAGCCCCCATTTGGCAACAACTTCGGCATTTAACTTTAGCATTTTGAAAAGGCTATCTAAGTTAAGCTTTAGCATTTTCAATGTTAATTTACATCATTAAAATTTTATCCGAAATGCTAGCCAAAAAAGATGTTCTCAAACAAGGCATAAAGTTTCTTAAAGCACCATTGAAGAAATTGAGAGGGAGTATGGCGACTTCTCTGAAAAAACAGAGTGAGCTAAGATGGAGTTCAACAAGAGGCCTATATGCATGATGTTCTATATGCACCAGAGGCCTGGGCGGGGATAAACACATCATAGAAAACATAGATTTCTAATCCATGTATTTGGTAAATTAACAGTTGTTATCAGCTGAAATTTGTTTTTAAGTTGTCCAAATTTATAGTCTAATAATGACACCATCCATGTGAATATGTAATGTCACTTTCTTGACTTCGTTTTTTTTCATTTTTATAAATAGTGAGTACATTTTTTACTGCTCATGGTATCAAATCTGTTCTATATTCAGAGGATCAGGCTTTTTTAAGAGCTTTCAGAACCTTTGGAATATTCAGTTTTCAGAGGAGCATTTCATTGAGAAAGCAACACAAATGATTTTTCTTCAACATCCCCGGCTCAAGGAGGTGCGACAGACACTGACTAACCGCCCTCCAAAATAACTTGCCTAAAGTTTTTCCAGCGACCTCAAAAATCAGCGTGCGAAGCATCTCTGGCCACCAGAAACTTATATAACCACCACCATCTGACTCGTCGGAGTTTATACCTTCTGACATTGCATCAGTTTGTAATTTTGACACTCCTTCGATTAGGTCTCTTAAATTCCCAGTCTACTTATTTTTACTTTTGCTAGTTTGGTACTCCAGTGAATTTCTTATTTGATCAACCTGATAATATTTCTTATTTGCTAGTTTGATTAGGTCTCTTAAATTCCCAGTCTACATATTTGTTATAATATGTGAAGAAATATCATTACCAAAACAAAATTATGTTTAAAGGTAGCGCATAAACTCACGTAATGAAGGGTACATATAGAAACAAATACCCTTCAATCTTCAAGATCAACAAACAAATAAAGATAATAAGCTCAAAACATATTAAATTATTTAATTCCATGTTTTGAAGATGATGAGAAAAATTGATCCTAGATGCGCTTAAGTATGCGATGACAAAGTGCAGTTTGGAAGGGTAAGCAACTCTCAAAGTCGGGTCACAATGTGCTCGTGCGGATGAGCGATGCCTTTTACTTTTTAAAACTTAATGAAATTTAGGTTGGGTTGGGTTGGGTCAAATTAGGTAGGGTTTCAAACATCGACTAGTCGGTGACTAGGCATCGCCAAGCCGTAGATTTGAACGACCCAATGACAAATCTCCTTCAGTCGCTTAGCCACCCTCAAGTCGTGCTCTCCAAAATGCCGAGACGACTCGACTAGGCGACGACTTAACAACAATCAGTGGACCTAAACATGAACACTCTACGCCATGAACAAGCATCTTCCAACTGGAACATGTTACCTGATATGGTCCGAATTGGAATCACCATTCACCAAAAACGAATCCGACATGACCAATCAGTTTGAAAACTCTAATAGTTAAAAACAAGTCACAAATGAGCTAACCAAAGATCGCCTCACTAAGGCATTTCTACTTATTTCAGCCATCTTAATTTTTTCTTATAAAAAAAATCTTGCATTACCTTCTTTCGCTTGTGATCAACTGATTCCAAAGCCGAACGCAGCTTAGCCACTTGTGCTGAGTCCTCTGTCACCTCTGTTGCCAGGGTGCCTGCTATGTCCTGTTTTACAATAGTAGTAAAAAAGGAAAAGAGGTCAAACACTCACTCTACCCCATAAAAAGAACTATGTTTCACACCAAGGTACAGCTAATGGAAATCATCAATAACAGTTTAAATTTAATATTTATTAGATGGTTTAATTTAATTTAACATACAAAACTTGTTTGGGACTTTGAGAAACTTTTTTTTATTATAGACATAAAATATAATGAAACTAGCTTCATTTCTTCAAATAGGACTCATTTTTTGGAGTTTGGACAAGAATAAA